AAAGGGAACTCTTTAGTATAAGTAGACACATGTTGCACATCAATGAAGTGACCCGGGAAATTGGAAAAATTTCAGCTAATAGCGGACACAGTACTGGGCGTTAAAATATCAGCTGCAAAGAACATAAATTACTGCAAACTTTTTATTAATTATCATCTCTGCTTTCTGGTTTAAAACCTAGCTGATTTTAACTTTAACACTCTGTCCTTGTTGATGCTGAAGTTCCAAGTCTTATTATTGCCTCTCTCTGGTCTATTTTCAATAGATGGGTGTACTTTTGGTCAAGAACTTGTTTAAAGGCTTACAATGGCATAATTTTCTCGGAATGTTCTATGGCTATGGAAGGCACGCTTGTAGTCAACACCATAGTCTACAATGTGATGGTTGATGGCTCAGGAAGGCTATCAGAATTCCTCCAGCAGCCGGGACCACTGTTATGGAGACCTGCAAACCTGGATCATGATCTCTTTTGGCAGGGACACACGCTATAAACTTCCATGCTGATGTGGGTAAAAAGCATTTTACCCTGCGTGGAATATTATCAGGTTGATTTGTGGTTGTTAATAAGGACTCTGATTACCACATGACGACAAGAGCAAGTGTATCGTTTACATGTTTTGAAGTCCCATCTGGAGAAGGGGTACGCTTACTTGAGCGTGACCGGTTCGGATCGATCCTTCTGCTGGGTTCTTAATGACGGAGATGCTAGCAGTACAAGTAAATGGACTTAAAAGAGTGTCAGCTTCTCGTTTAGCCATCAAATTAGTGTGAACAAAAACAGCCTGTTTCTAGCAATTATGTCAGACGTGCACATAGTTGATGTCACGTACAGAGCTTCTGGCATCTGACTAATGCGTTAGCTAAACAGTGTGCACACTGTAAGCATTCCTTGTACATGTTGTACCAAGACAGTCTGACCTCTGTTAGAATAAAGAACAGGACAAACCAGCACTGAACCGTCTACATCGTTTTAAAAACTAAATTCTCTTTATCCACACATTTGGTTACCTGCTACATCCCTGCTAGCGCTGGCTAACGTTAGCAGGGAGCCACGACATCACTTTGTTGATCACTTGGTCTTACCTGGACTTCCCAACGCCGCTTTCTCCTATTATCAGTATCTTCAGCGTGGTAAGCACGTCGTCTTCCATTCTTCCTTCACTGTATGCTGTGTTACTCTCAGTAAATCTCTAAAAGAGACTTGTTAAAGTGAAGCTGTATAACTTGCGTCCCTGTTTACAGCTCTCAGCACAGATAATAATATGACAGCCCTCTGGTGAGACGTCTCACTCCAACCATTTCCGGTATGACTTGTCACTACTTCCGCTGGAGATCTTACAGGATATCTTGGGAGAAGATTATGTAAGACAAAGGACGCAGTGTTGCAACATGTCGACGTCATGTGTTCGTGTCATTTTAATAGTATTGTATATTTGCTACTGGACTCTTTAAACGGGGATTTTTCACACTCCGATACATTTGTTACAAATGTAATTTCAAAGTCAACCATTTGAAATTCTTATGTCACTGACAGTCACAGTGAATTGATTGTGACTGGCAATTTTGACATTTTGAAAATGTTTACATGAGGTATTTATGCATGTCACCGAATTCTACTTCTTGCCCTCTGTGTACCAAAAAAGTATTGGTTTATATATGAAAAATATAGGCTCCTATGAATTTTCCACTCATGTTCACCAGTACCACTGAACATGATCTTATTAATGTTTTTAAATGAATTTACCCTGCAAATCTAATCCTATTCTAAAGACAGGGAAGGTTTTTGGGTCAGTATTTACACATGTAACTGTACAAAACAATATATGTTGTTTTCAAAGGCTACATTTTTGGTCCTCTTATGGTCAGGTTCATAACTAGCTCGACAATGGCAAAAGGTAATTACACCTATGTAGAATACCAAATACAATTTTATTTTGTCTTTAGTCAAAACAGTCAACTATACTCCATCAGCCTTTTTTTAACCTCCTAGGACCTGGCGTCCACATATGTGGAAATCACATTTTGGGTTGTATAGACCAAAATGCTAAATTTTGCTCTACAAGGATCTGATATCCACTTATCAGGGCGTTATACTGCCACTGTTCTATCGAAATTTAAAGTGAATCCTCATATGTGGATCTCATTTTTCTCAGAAACAAAAATAAGGTAATAAAAAAAAAAATCACGCAATTCTTTGTTTTTACATTCATCAGTTCCTAATCAGCCCAAATAGCAACTTTGCTATTTACATACATACTTACAAATCATCATCATATCTGAGGATACACCATTTACCAATCAGCTCTGGACTTTCCCACTGGATTTCTTTTTCTGGATTCCCCCCACTGCCTGCCTGTGATACAGCTGTTTCTATCTTCTGGCCAAAAGTGAAACACTTGGTGTTGCAGCACTTGCAGTTAAACTGCACATGCAGCTTACATCACAAACCATCAGTTCTCCTGGAGCTCCAGTAATGACCTGGTGAATTCTCATGGTTCCAGGAACAGCTGGTATCTGCTTTGGCATTTTCTTCATAGCTTCCTCAACATCTTCACTTTTCACAAAGAACAATTTCACACTTGTGTTTGTTTCAGAAAAGGCCCTGAATAACTCTTCTGCATCTGGGATGTCATGCCCCATCATGTCAGCTGCTCTTTTTAAGGATCCCCCGACACCATCTGGTGCTCCTTTTCCATGACGAGCCTCGAAAAAATTGCAAGAGCCAGCCTTGAATCCTCTTCTGTCCAGTTCTGTAGTGACAAGGTAGAAGTTTCTTGGTTGTTTGTATTGCGTACAGGCTCCGTCGCTTAAAAGGTGCAGCACAGACACTTGTGGATGTTGGCCTTGAAGGTAATCTAGCACAGGATTTAGGTGCTGCCATATTGCTGGAGGGCCTTTATGTCTACTGGGGGAGATGGTGCTAAAGCACACAGGCACTGAGAGTCCACCAACATACAACACACAAGTATGAAGGATGGCCTGCTGATGTGAAGCCCCAAAGTGGACTGCCTGAACTTGAAAACTGTATTTACAGCTGTAGTTTTCTGAGAAGTCAACATGTATCAAAGTCTCCTCCCCTGACATGCTGTTCTTCAGCTCACAGCAGAAGGCATACTGCTGCTTGATATTAAAGTGATGCATTTTAAATTTCTTTACAAAGCTCTGGAAGAGCTCAATGATGTCCTCTTGTGTGCCCTCCACAGATTTCTTGACTGTCACCTTGACAGTTGCCTCCATCCTCTCACGCTCACTCTGAAGGTTTCTCTCCCTTCTTTCAGCTTTAAGGCGTTCCCGATACTTCCTTTGCCTTTCTGCTGCTGTTGTTGGTGCCATCTTACTCGCATCCTTAACATGGCACATAAATCACATTCAGCATGCATGCAGTATAAGAATGTTGACTGAATATAATAATAATAAATTTAGATAATTGGATAACTTAACCAAAGTATTAAAATCTCAACCCCGTTACAATCAAAAACAGGGTTGAGTGTGACTGGGTTGAGATTTTTGCACAAACTGGCCGCTGCTTAATGTAGTGAATACCAGACAGAGAACACATGGCATGCATGAAATTCAAAATCACCATATATTCATGAACTAACAAAAAACTTTTTCATAAGTAATAGTTTTCTATCTTTTTTTCATGTTACGGTGTTGAGTCATTGAGGTTGACGACCACAATATCACAAGATAAATGACTAAAATAAAGGAAAAGAATGGAGCAACTTGCCTGTCTCTGTGGTCCTGTTGTCCAAAAGACTTCAGTGATGTCACTTCCTGATGTATACAGAATTCTGGATAACACCATTGTATTTACGGGGGTGGGATCATTCATGTAACAGGGTTGAAGGGTTAGTCAGGTAAAGCCGTTTAAATAGAAAGTTTGGTGACCCAATAGATGAAATACACCATAAGAGGTGAGAGGGACTCAAATTGTGCCATTTTCATGGAATGACTCAAAGATAAATTAAAAATGCTTGCAATGAAAGTGTTCAGGTCTTAGGAGGTTAAGAATACAAGATATTTTTTGGGGGGGTTTATTGAATATGGACAGTGAAAACAGAGAGGAAAGTGGGGAGAGAGAAATGGAAGACATGAAGCAAAGAGCCATGGGTCAAACCGGAACCCAGGCCTATTGCTCTCCGGCTATATTGCATATGGTCAAATGCTCACACCCGAGCTAAACTGGTGCCTATCCCAAGATACTTGCAGCTGATGGGATAATTCGAATTTTGGAAAATAATTCAAACTAACTGAAACGATACTGTGAACATGGAAAACTAAACTCAAATAAAAATATAGAAGAAATATCAAACCTTTTTGAAACTAAACTGAATTGAAATTTAAAAAAAAAATGAAATAAAATAAAATCTAATTAGAAAACACAATAACTCTTATACTTCTCAATCAACTCCCCAATTACTTTTGACTCTGAAATTTTGTGATTGTGCATAAAAATGTCCATAATTCCTAAACAGTTCATGCAAGCTGAAAAGCTGAAAGTCTGCGCCTCCATCACATATTGACTTGACTGTTTCATTTACACTCTGCTGTGATTGCTTACACATGCAAAATTAAACAAACTGAATTATCGTCCACAAACTTTATGAACCTAACAGTATTTACAGCCCTTCCACAAATGAAACACCTGAAAGAAAGAAAATACACTTTTTTTTGTCCATTATTTAATAAATAAGTCATAAACAGCACTGTGGGAGAACATGATACTGAGATAAAAGGCACTTTGAAAATAATACTGTAAAAGGCTTGAGTGTGGTATCAGAGGCATTTGGGTTTGGGAAACATTTCAGAGGTTCTTCATGTGACGTTTCAAAGACAGTTTCAGCCTCACAGTCTCAAAAACAAACCAGCACGATCGGATCAAACGGGCAACTTCACCAGTTCACTGACAGGACATGCGTTTGGTGTACTTGAAAAGAAGACAGCAAAGGACCTGAGAATGAGTGTCAAAGTTACTTCATTTACCATATACAATCATATCTCATTAGTTAAGCAGTAATTTATTTTATAGTAATAAAACTCCATTGATTGTTCATTACCACCACATTTTCAAAATCTGAACAAGTGGTATGCATTCCCTTTAATGATATTTGAATCACTAGATGTTCTTACGCCGCACTCAATATAATATATACTGTATGATAGACTGTGCAATAGCCTAATCTAAGTCGAATGCTCAACATTACTCAGTACTTCCTATTGCAGTTGTTTTCGATATATACACACCGGCATACTGTCCTGATATGGCCAAGAATTTACATATTAAACTCAGGCCCTGTCAGCAAACATACAGAAACTCACAGGAGGTCAGTGCAGACAGAGACAGACGAGTAGAGACAGACAGAAGCTGAAGGAGTGTTGTGCACGTGTTATATTATCCATGGCGTCTACGCTGTGTTGCTAAAAAAAAGCCAAGTCCTCTGCCCGTACCAGTCCAGCGGCAGGAGAACTAATACGCAACTTAAAAGTATATACACATACTGTACATCTAAAATACAACAAATGCATAAAAATCATATCATCAAGTGTTAGTAAAAATACTGAATCAGTGGGCAAATGTATACACTGTAATGATAAAGCAAATAGGAAAAAAAAATGCACATAAATTCCTCCGCACGCTCCTGTCAGAACTCAAAGCTACGGTAAAGGCTGCGGCTGTCGGATACTTGATAGCAGAGCTGAACTGTGGAGCTAACATTTGCCTTCATATTTGGGATTGACCACAGTCGTCACGGCGCTTTTGTAGATTGGATTTTCACCCTGGAAAAGAAAAGTTGAAATTTGGTCAAATTCTAAAACTCAATCAAACCATGCATGTTTGTGTGTGTGTGTTATTCTTCCAAAAACACCGGTTATGATTAAATATACAACAACTTGGGATATTCACAGAATTTAGTTTCAGTTTTTGTTGTATCACACTTTGCAAACAGACATGCTTTTGTGACCACATACTAAACACCAGAAGGTAAAAATCACCAAGCAACTTTGCTTGTCACAGCCTGTTCATGCAGTCTTCATTAATCTACTCTTAATGTAGCTGCAGAGTCTGTAGGTCTTTAAAAAGACAGGTGAGAGAGAGAGAGATCACAGCACACACATAAACAGCCCGTGCAGGGAAAACCAAGTGGAAAGTAAAAGAAATACAAACTTAAAGAACAGCAGCTTTACGTCCATAGTTTGGGTTCTGGAACTGATTGATGGGACTCTTGTATATGGGGTTCTCTTGCTATGGGTGCAGATGAGCACAGGGCAGAGATGAATGAGGAAACAAAGAGTGACAGCACAGGAGAGAAAAAAATACAAAAGGCGAGATAAAATGAAAAAGCAGGAATCAGGTGCGGTGACAGAAGAAAAGACAGCATGTGAAATAGAAGGAATTTAGCTGGAAGCTCTTATTAAGCAATGAGCCACCGAAGCATTTTTCCTAACATAGCTCATCTATGATTCACTTGCAGTCTTTCTTGTCTTTTTGCTTTTGGTTAACCGGAAGGTGCTGAAGGTGCTCAAGCATTTAATCCTCCCCTCCCTGTCTGGCAGTTTCCCACCTCTCAAATAAAAGGATAAAAAGAACTTGCCATCAGATTAAAACATTTACAAAAAAACATGAAGGGCACCCGTGATGTTTATTTTCGTTGTCAATTGCACCTAAAGACCTGTACTGAATGTACAACTGTATCATGTCAATATACACAATACATGTATATATATATATATAGATCATAACTGATGATAGATACCTAAAAATTATAGGATGAAGATAAAAACAAATCAAACAAAGCATCTGGGTATGATATTTGACACAGACGTCTTCCTTTTATCTTGTCAGGGAGCAGGGTTACATGCACTCTTATTTTTCAAAATTACAGGGATGTGGAGCTTTAGGCCATGCTGCCTGTGGGAATAAGAAAGACCCCAAAATGCAAAGCAGCTTTACTGCTGCTGATTAGAGACATCTGCACCATCAACCCCATTATTCACTGCAGGTTTGACAAACTCCTGCCACTAGATGGGGGAATATTACTGCACATGGAATTATGCTGAAATCCAGATTTTTGTTATATAGATATTGGCAGATGATGTGGAAGAAGCAGGGAGGGGAGGAGTTGTGGCTACTCCCCAGAAAAAGTCCAGCTATGCTCAGAGTGCATAGCATTCCCAAAAAAGTCCACACAGTCTTCAACATTTTTCCCTCTTTATTTTGAGCTCCGCTCAAAAGCAACAAATACAGTCTGTGTGCAGCTGTGGGACGGTGGAGAGTGAGAACAAGATACTTCATAATGATTTCGAAAAGTCTGCAAATCTCGTCCGTTGCTAAAAAACAACAATGATCTTCGCAACTTAATTCTCTGACAGCGGCTGCTGTTGCTGAGCGGCCAACCGACACCTGTTTTCCACATTTAACGTACTAACCTCATCCAAAAAAACCAAAACTAAAACAATCAAAAACATTTATCCTGCTCGTCTTTCACAGAGCCACTTCCTGTTCCAGGCACTCACCGTGTCCCATTTGGCGTTCATCTTCTCCTTTTCAAACTTGGCGAACTCTCTTCTGTCGTGGATGATCATCAGCAGCTTCCAGATCAGCAGCAGGGCTAAGCCAATGAGGACAATGCCTGCGACCACGCCGGCCACAATGGGGATGATGTCAGGACCGGAGGGGCAGTCTGAAAAAGAGCAGGGTTCAGCAGGCAGCTTGAAATCGCAGTGCAGCAATAACACCATGGGAGTAACATACCATCACACTGCTATATGTGAGTAAACAAAAGCTCTATTTTTGTAAGCCAACCACCATGGCCCCTGTAATTAGCTTTTTCTGTAACAGAAACCTTCCACACCCTGTTCCCAGTGAGCCCAGCCCTCTCCTTACCCAGCTTGTCGACCACATGGACTTCCCTTTCCGTGTCGTTGACAGCGTAGGTATAGTAGAACCAGCAGTCATTGGCATCCCTCTCCTTGCAGTGCATCACGGGGTAAGGGTAGTCATTGGGCTGCGGCAGCTTGTTCCTGTCCTTCACTGTAATCAGGTTAAAGTAGCTGCACTCCTCTTTGCATGTTTTCATCTTCTCACCGGTGCCAAACGCCCGGCACTGGACACACAGTCTGGAAAGGACAAGGAGTGTTGTTAGTAAACACTCAGTTAGATTTGCCATGTGACAACAAAAAAGAAACAACTGCAGCAGCCCATCTACCTCCTTGTTGTCATGGAGTCAGTTAACGTAGCCTTATTTCTTTATTTTATTTAGATTTTTGATAATTTTCTTTTTTTTTTTTGTTATTTTTTTTGTTATATGTTGACACGTTATTATTAGCAATGAATATATGACAGATCAGCTATTACTAAGTTCTTATTTGCAGTGGATATGCAGTCAGATTTTACTCAAAGCTGATTTACGTACATGTACTTGCATAGTACAGAGACATTATGAGAGCAAACGTGACACTTAAAGAGAAGTGTTCAGCAGCTGAACAGGAACACACATGCCAATCACCTATTATTTTAATGCATGCACACAGTAGAGGTTTGCAATAATTTCAGTGAGTATGCACTCACAGCCGTAGTAAAGCTGTAGATATCTGCACCAATCACTACAGTATCTTGTCAGCACTCCCAATTGAGCCTTTAATTACCTTGTGATGCCTTGTGATTTATAAGTATATTTTTTTAAACATCAGACATATTTTGCTTTTCTATAGTAAATAAAATATGGGTTTGTGAGATTTGTAAATCATTGCATGCTGGTTTTATTTACATTTTACACAACTTATCATCTATGAAATATATGCAAAACCAGAACTATTTCTACACATCAGACTTACTTGTGTTCAGCGCAGACTCCTGGACAGGTAGGGCAGGTTTCACATGTGGGACCCTGGAACTTGGGGTCTGTGCACTTGCAAACGCCACACTCACATCTTCCTCTGCCGTTACAGATCTGCTTGTTGGTGGCCAAACATGTGCTGTTGTCCAGAGAACAGTCACAGGCTCTACCGCTCCACATGGGGTCGCAGATACACTCCCTGCACACACATCGTCCATTCCCTAAGGAAAAAAGTTAAAAAAGGAAAATTGGGATTAAATACTGTAAATGGCCTAAACACTTAAATGAAGCCACAGATATAATCTGTAACATTGACACACTCACCTCCACACAGTTTGTTTTCAGAGCGATCACAGTTGAAGTTGTCACACTCGCAGAACTGGCCGCTGTACCTTTCCTCTGGGTTGGGTCTCTTCTTGCACTCGCATGTGCCGCACACGCATTCTCCGTTGTTGCTGCAGATGTCCGTGCTGTTGTCTTTACGGCAGGTCTGATCCATGTCGTCTGTAGCCATGTCGTTGCTGCTGCATTCGCAATTTCTACCCACACGGCCTTCAAAACACCTGAGACAATAAAGGGGAGGTTGTGATGCATTTTAAAAGAAGTCCAAGTACATGCGAAGGCGAGAAGTGAACGATGGCATTTTTCAGCAAAATATCTTTTGAATTAAAGGCTTACCTGCACGCTCCACACTCAAAGGTCCCATTTAAGGAGCACTTTTCGCTTTTTTTAACAACATCGTTATTCTGGCATTGACAGTCACAGATGAAGTTGAGGATAATCTCCACCTCCTCTGTGAATCCCAGGGGCTTTATCTTGATGGTCTCACTCTTGCCTTCATTTGGACAGCCCTTAGATGTCACAGTGATGTTAAAGTTGACCTGAGTAATGGAATAAGAAAGAAAGCCTAAATGAGAGAAGAATGGTGTGAAAACTGAAATGGAAAATATGAACTGTGAACTGCAACAACAAGAAGTCATTCTGTATTTCCCACCTCATCTCCAATTGAGATATTAGAGCACTTTCGTCCATCGTCCTTGTCGTTAACCACTCCGTTCTTACACTGTGATTTGTATTCTATCTCCACTCCCTCTGGGAGCTTGCTGTTGTCTAGAATAACTTCAGATGAGAGAGACTGCCAAAAACCAAAAACATAACAACATGAAGGTTTTTTTCCTGCTTTGGAATTTCATCTGGTAGCTTTGTTTTGACAGAGTACAACACACAAAGGCATGGCTGTAGGTTAAATGAGAATACAAGTACAAAAAAGGAATGTTCCAGCTCAGTAATCGCTACAAGATTTTAACAGAGTTCATATGAGGAAATGATAACTTGATCAAAGTTTTATGACATTATGCTAACAGCAAAAAATCTCAACAATGTACTTACATTGTAAGCGTCTATGATGAGGTTGATTACATTGCTGGAGTTGGCAGACAGTGTACCCACTGCAGACTTTGGTATCAGATTTTTCAGTTCCTGTGGAGGAAGAGGCATGTTCAGAGCAAAACTTCAGAACTCTATTAATCTCGTGGCTTCAGAAAGAGACACAAGTTGTTTCAACTTACACTACAGCCCACAAAATAATATTTTAACCATTTTATTGCAGATTCTGATCACACAAATTTCAACTATTGCTTTGATGGGTGTTCACACTTCGAAAGGTGGGCCTAAAAAGCAACAGCTTGTTAGCAAGAAATAATGAGAACTTCAAGGGGATGGTAGTCTTAACTTAGCAGATGGCTAAGCTTTTTGCAGATGTTTTTGTTGCACTGGACAAACACATGCATGCTTAAAAAATGACAATGAAGAAAGACGTGAATGAGTATCACAGGGATAACAAGAAGAAGAACCAACTTGGTACACAGGCTGAAACTCCTCTGTGACTGCAAAGATAGTCTGAATGTTGTTGTCGCTTAGCTTCTGGACCAGGTGAGCAATTGAGGGATAATCCTTAAAAAGACCAAGGAAGAGAAAAAGCCATATTTACAAAATCAACACAGCTAACCTGTACAAAACAACCAAAGCACAAAGGAACTACTTACATAATAGTGGCTCATTGTGTACACATTGTCCTCCAAGTGACATTTTCCATCATTAGGCAGTACAATGCCTCCCAGTTTGCCATCTCCAGCAAAGTGGAAACCGGCATCAGTGGAGAACACCAGCAGACGCGTAACATTCCTCCAGCCAATTTCCTTCTGATAAATAAAAAAGAAAATATATTAAGTAATTACCAGAACAGCTTAATATGTGACACATGAACTTTTGACTACATCCACAAATCTCCTTGTAAACACCAAGCACTCATAAAATACCTTTTTGACACTACATCTAAACACTTTTACTGGCACTATATCCCTCCAAGCAAGCCCCATAATGACTGGAAAATTACTTGAGAGTGAAAATTTCCCACAGGATCACTTTCCTTTTCTTGATGCTTACCCCGCAAACAGCCACTTGCATGATGGCGTCAAAGCCCCCCTCTGGAGAGTCCAGGTTTCCTGAGATTTGCTGCTTGCCCACCAGAGAGTTGAACATATTGCCGTCACTGGTCAGACTCAAGACATTCTTGTAGCTGAAGGGGCTGGTGCAGTTCTGGTCCCCTGTGCACGGGTTTAGCAGCTTGGATGGAGTGGTGCTGATGTAAGGCATGACCGTCTTCTCCACAAACGAACCAAAACCTGCAAAATAAATTTTAAACTAAACTAAACTAGATGTTTGCTTTGACAATGCGTATGTCTGTAACTGTGGGGTTAGGTGTGAGGCACAACGGCCTGATTATCTTTTAATCCTGCATATGATTAGTTGTTTGTTTTTTTTGCTTGTTTTTAAATGAGAATTGAATTGAATTGAATTGAAAAGAACTTCATCCAACCTCAAAATTGCTTTAAGAGTATACCTCTAAACTGTCTATTTATTTTTTATAGTTTTGAGGGGGGCTACAAATGTATATTTGTGCAGTTATAAAAGTCTTTCTTTACTTGTGTAATTACAGTTTATAGTGAGAAAATTAAACAGGTGTTATTGATAATCCCCACCGATATGAAAATCACTGGTGATCTTTTTCATCTCCAACATGAGACTGGTTCCCAGGTTCTTGACATTCTCCAGATCATCCTTCATTGAGTAGGACAGGTCCATCAAGTAGTACAGGTCAATGGGATAATCTTCAGCTCGTTTGAACTTCAAGTCAAAAGACTGGGGCTGACCTACATAAAGAGATCACATTTAAAGTTTAAATAAAACTGAGGTTGCTCCAGCCTGGATGCACTTCCAGTAACAGTATAAAATGTGTTCTCACCAGATCGAAGGTTGAGTCTGAGTTTCTGGGGCTGGATCTGAGTGATTTCCTCTGGCTTTGGTTTATTGGTTTCGACCCCAGTAACCTTTTTGCGATTGGTCACACGCTTGTTTGTGATGACCCACTTCTTGCCGGTTGGATTCTGAATTTGCGAATCATTACAACCCCTGTCTTTTAAAGACTCTACCTCATCACAACGGGTTGACAAGGCTTCACCCTGTTTGAGGAAGTTCTAAGAGCAGCAGCACAGAGAGAATTAAAGGAGCAGTTTGTCAGTTTAACAAGTTAAAATCTGTTCATATGTAGGCATCTTTGTTATGTGTAAACAAGGATGTTCTACAATGTACAACAAGCCAAATGATCACTTTGGAGAGAGAGAGTGGAGACTAGAAAAGTATAACAGACTACAGCCTACCCTGCGCTCCTAGGTAGGAGCAGTCTTTGTAAATTGGATGAGTGTAAAATACTGGCTTCTTGCTCCTCTGTATATCATTGATATAAAAGATTGCTAAAAATGCCACCCTTCTCTTTGGGAATTGACGAATCTATCGATGTTTCAAAGATAACAAAGAGTATAAGTCTAACATAAAACATAATGTTAGGCTTAACAGCTGTTTTCACTTCCGCAGCAGTGAAAACAGCTGACCACTTCAGTTCACGTACTTCCTGTTCACACCAGCCACATTTGGCTCCAGCCTGGATGCATTCCCCACAGTGTTTGGCATTGGCACTGATGCACTCGTTCCCCTCTAGATGGAAAACAAAGAGAGAAGAGAGAGCAGAGTCAGAGGGAGGAGAGGTATAGCGCAGTCGCTGCAAAATAAGCAGTCCTGTTAAGCCCCCGCCTGCGCGCTTACAAATCGGTTCCTCTGCAACACTCCGCGTCTCAATGGTAATGGGAGACAGAGACGGATAATTCCATTTTTTCCATTATCCTCTATGCCCTGATGCTGAAGTGGAGCTCTGCTCAGCAACATCATTAACCCTCCCTCGCCACAGTGGGACTCATCAAAATAAACTGCATGTTTACTATACGAGCTGACATCAACAAAATGATATAATTGGGACACATGAAGGATGCTACGGAAATATCAAGAGGAAAATCTTACCTTTCTGAGGATTACAGTAGCAAAAGACTCCTAACAACAGAGATATCAAGATCACCTTCAGGTCCATCTGAAAAACACACAAGGGGAAAAAATATATACATCAAGGTGTTCTGGTCTTGACATAAACAGAGCGACTGCTGTTTTGAAAAGCACAATGCCATTTTGACTGTGCCTTTATTTCCAATAACAGGATCTGGTGTGCTTGGTGGCCTGAGTGTCTGAATTAATAATATCCACGGATAAAAAGGTCCACAAGAGTGAGAACGAGTGTCCAAGAGATGACAGATTAAACCTGCAAATAGCTTGGTTATAATTGGAGGTAATAAATTATCCCGTTATAGCGTGCTTGGCTATTCTCAGATGGTCATAGGGTAACAGGCCGCTCATTTAAATCAAACCACTTTCACTCACGCACACACACAAGATTACATCAACTCATCCTTAGCTTGGACTGTACCTATTATTTATTTCTCTCCCACAATTCCTTTTACTGTAAATAGCATCAGCTCCCTAGAGTCATCCCCTCTGTCGTCGTGTACATTGATCCCTGTCTGACTGCAGGCCATTTGGTTGGCTAGTTGCTGTGTGTGGACATATTTTATCACAGATAGCTCAAAGCTGCTAAAATGCTCAACAACTTATTTTAGCAACAAACATGCTAATGCCCAAATAAGTAGGCACGAGCTCATAGCCTAGCTAAAAACAGCTGAGTTCGAGTTTACAGGCTTTATTTTTATGTATTTTACGTTTTATGTTTGTTTTTTTTTACTGTTTTCACAGTGTTTCATTTTTATGCCTCTGTGTCACTATAAATTCTGCATAACTGATGATTATATTAAGATATAGTTTGTGCTGGCATTCTTTAAGATTCGCAGCACCTCTTACTGGCAGACCTACTCAGCCGCAGCTGAGAAAGCTCCTCGACAGAACTGTCAACCAACCACCAGCCAGCAAAGGATCAGATCATGTTGAATCTAAAACATGTGGAAGGTATACCCAACACTCCATCTGACCATAAAACACAAACTGATGGTGAGTCATTGCTAAAATATTCTCAGAATATAGAAGTCTACCACACTACATGTCAAGGATCCAAATTAGAGACTGACAGACAGACAGCGGTAAAGTCACAAAACTTTGATTTTAACTTATTTAGACTACTGGCTGCTGCTGGCTATTCATGGAGGCTGCAATAAAAGACTGCATTCCCTCACACTGTGCTAAAGGAAGCTCTGATGTTCAGTGTTCACTGTGTTGACTGATGCATTCCTAAGCACTTGTGTGAATGTGTGTGTGCGAGTCCGTTTATCCAGACACAGAGGGACAGACGGCCTGTCTACAGCCCCCCAGATTAGATCAGCTGGCTTGGCACTGCTGGGCATGGGCAGCATGTTCTAGTTGGTGTTGGAGCTGGACATTTAATAGAATAAAAAGATCCCATAGCATCTTCTATGGTAGAATACAGATCTATGACCCAGCTTTAAATGTTGCGAATGATTGGTTTATGTGTAGTCAGTATACAGGATAAAGAAGTGACTCAGGTGAAAATCCTGATCTTAAAATCAAAGAGGTTCACAAACATGATATTTCTGTGTATGTTTCTTGTTTGCAGTCAAATAAAAACAATGGCAATAAGACTCTTTTCAGGTGTCAAGTTAGAAAAATAACCATGCTGTCTTCAATCCCATGAAGCTTTGCAGCTGTACAGAGGAATGCTTAGTAAATAACTACAGTAGGATATAGAGCTGAAGACTGAGAGCAGCCCAAGGAAGGTTCAGGAACAGGTCATCCAGAAACGTCAGACTTCCCAGACTTCTAAATCAACTAAATAACTTGTCAATATTTCCAGGTGCTTTTCCTCACACACTGTTATATGTTTTAGTAAAATAAAAAGGTAGAAAAACAATTACTTCAAAAGCAAAAACCCACCACTGATAAGGTAGGACATACTTGGTGGAAAGTTGTTTATTATATAAGCATGAATGTTTAAACTCAACTGTAATCTGTCTGTTTGCATTTCAGAAATGCAGTTTATGCAATTCATAAATTATAAAATTCAGCGTAGAATGCAATCAGACCAATTTATCAGCTGATATTAGCCGATATCTATCGGTGTCTGCATGCGTAACTGCTGATAAATGAAAATTTAACAGGTAAAGAAATGGGAGAGACACCCTTCAACTACTCTTTACTTTTCTTGCTGGCAGTCAGCTGATCCAAGCAGAGTTGAGCAGAGTAAATATAAGAAAACAAAAAACTACACAACAATTTTTAGGGAAATGCTTATGTTTCATGGGTCTGAAAGCAGTCAGGATCAAGATGCCCCCCCGCGCGCACGCACAAACACATCCTCCAACCACACACACCCATATTTTGCTCCATTGCGGTTTATTTCACACCTCAAACATTTAGTAAACAATTAAGCAAATACAAGTAATCTGCAATAAATTACAGGTAGTAATAAAATAAACTACTAACTCTTTTACGCTGCATCCACACCTACACAGGTATTTTTGAAAACGCAGCTGTTTCGTCCACACGTAAACGGCGTTTCAAATCACCGAAAACTGAGATTTTTTAAAACTCCTTTTTTGCGTTTACGTGTGGACGAGGAATACAGAGTTCGTCACGCAACGTCAAAGGTATGTGCCTTTTTTCACGTCACGCTGTGCGCCACATTATTGTTTACATGAGATGAATTGCAGAATAGCAGATAGAGACAAAATGTTAATCTGACTATCTTCAGTTTTTACAGGCTTACATTTACACACGCAGCTACTGTTCTTCTATTTAGAAAGGCAGAGGCGTCACGGTGTGATTATTTTACGTGTAGTTGTTTTTTTCCTGTGTAATAATATTCAACATTGCTATCAATACATTTTTCAAAAAATGCCTCTCTGTGCAAAATGGGTTTAAAAACATAAACAACTGTGGGATACTGTTTGTCCGTGATTTAGGCTACGTTCACACTGCAGGTCTTAATGCTCAATTCCGATTTTTTGATCAAATCCGATTTTTTTGTCTGCTCGTTCACACTACAAATAAAATGCGACAGCAAACGCTCTCAGTGTGAACGCTCAAAGCGGCCCGCATGCGCAAAAGAAGACGTCACACACAACGCGCTCTGTTTAGACCCAGAGCAAACAATATTGTTTGACTGATGGCCCTTAATATAAAGACTTCGGACTTCACGTTTCCCAATTTTTGCTTTAAGTTATTTTGTTATTTACATAATAATGTAGATAACCTAATAATTATCCTTATTGCTGTTTTAGAGGAGCGGTGCTTCAAAGGATAGTTGCAGATTTCTGTCAGAATCTGCAGATTATACAGTACAAATAAAATGTTCACGTTTCTCCAACGTTGTCTTCCCAACAGTTTCACTAACATCTACACGGATGGCCAGGAAGCGTTCGCGATGTCTTCTCCGGCGCTGATAATTGGCGTCTGTCTTGTGTCAGTGACGTAAAAGACGGATTTAATGCGACATGACCGTTCAAACAGCAGTCGCTTTCTAAAACATTGGATATGTATCGGATTCAGGACCACATACGAAAGTGACCCAGATCGGATTTAAAAAATATCGGATTTGTGCTGTTCACACTGTCACACCATGATCAGATATGGGTCGCATAGGGTCAAAAAAATCGGATTTGATGCGCTTTTGCCTGCAGTGTGAACGTAGCCTTAGACAGGGGGAACAAATCGTGGCCGGATCAGCCTGATATTATTTGTATCCCACCGTAACTTTACTGTATAAAGAGCTAACATCTCCAAAATGTCAGGAGTAGTTAGTCATTACAACAAGTGTTTGTGAACTAAAAATCAAGAATGTGGGATACTGTTTGTCCGTGATTTGAACAGCCCAGCGCATGCTCCGATAAAGGGAGACCCAATTATGCAGGGGAGACCTACCTTGGCACTTGTGTAGGTGAAACCAAAGAGAAGATATGCTTCACCAAGATATGCTTCTAGTCTTTGGCTTAGCAGTGTCCAAGCGTTTTTTTTCCCCTTTTCATACCGCGCCCCCCCTGCAATGGCTCTGCGATACTGAGGTGCATTCTTGAGGATATCATGAACTTTTCCTGTCAGTAAGCCAGTGTTACTGAAACTGTCTTTGAAGTAGAAATTATATTGTTGGTTTCAGACACTTTCGGACAAAACTCAAACAAACTGAAATTGTTTATGAAAGGGAAAATGTGATTTCTAGGTCACAGCTAACATTAGCTGGTATAATGTTAGCGCGGTGGTTCCCAAACTTTTTTTGTTAGGCCCCCCCTTTGTTTTACAAGAAAATGCCCCCCCCCACTCCCCCTGCAAAAACACATCCTCCAAGCGTAAAATAATGGTTGTTTTTTCTGTTTTTTGAAAGAGATTGTAGTTTTACACACACCCATATGGGTGTATGTGTAAAACCACTACCTCTTTTCAAAAAATCTCTCTCCGTGCAAAATGGGTTTAAAAACATAGACAACCATGGGATACTGTTTCAACCTCTGCTTTGCATTTGTCTTGGAGCCCCGTCAAAAAACTTGTCCATTATGCTAGTAGTGTCCAAGCATTCTTTTTTATTTTAAATTCATCCCCCCCCTACTTACTAGGATATCTGAATATCAGATTTTTAAATCACAACATATTGATATTGGTCTTAAAAATCTTATATCTGTCAGGTGCTGCTACAGGATGAGAAACACAGTTAGGCTGTAAGAAGAAACCAAATCATATTTTTGTAATTAATAAAATTGCTTGAGAATTACTATTACTATTCACTCAGACATGTTTTGATATGGTGAAATGTAAAAAGCATACCCACAAGGACAGAAGCTGTGCAAATAAACGGCAGCACATATTATTATTTATAAGTTCTTAGGAAACCAGGCTTTTAACACACTGTCGTTATCCTGCACTGGTGTGTGGGAGAACTGGTTCCAGGCACCAGGATGCTGGAACCAGGATTTTATGAACATGCAAACTAATGCTAAGAACACGTTATCATCTATAATTCTCTTTGCGCTAACTTTGCAAAATTCATGAGGTTCGAAAAGACCGTGCACCTAGAAGTATGCTTTCACAAACAACCTGGTAATTTTTACTATGAAAAATATATGAATCAAACTTGGTAATGTGTTATTACGTAACAAATGTAATGACATGTGTGTGCTTTAATGTGTGAGTAGATGGAAAGGGTAATATAGATAAATTCCCTGACTACAGCAGAAAGAGCAGTTACTTTAACTCCCTGTCTCTCCCCCACTCAGACGTCTGCATAAATACATGGAAATTTAACTCTTCACACACACCTGAACTGTGACTAGTGGCAGCCCAGCATTTCGTAGGCTTCTGAAGGCTCTATCAGTTGGCAAGAGAAAGTGATGTATGGCAGACGCTGTGGTGCGTGACTAAAACGGGCTGAGGCATTCCAGAGAGCCTGAACATTGCCTGACCAGGATAGTAACCCATAACACTGTTACTGCACTTTGGGGAAATGTGAGCTGTTGTGACACCCACGATGCATAAACAAACTCCCTCCATCCTTGTCTCTCTTCCTGCCTCAATTTTCCTGATTAAACCCGATTACAAACCCACTTTTTCCATTTTTCCACGACTTTTCTCATCTGCACATATTGTTTATGACTTTTTTACATCACGTTAACAGATATTAGCTTGAGGTGAGTGGGGGGTGAATCCCTGCGTGAAAATCTGTGGTGCAGAAATTAATTGAGCTACTTTAAAAGACTGGGTTTACTTCCCTTCAAGCTGAGCTGCATTTGCAAGTACTTAGGACTACTTACTTCAGCAAGCACTGCCATGAATAATGACCACTGGAGTCAAGGGAGAGAAACAGGGAGACACGGTAAACCATACAGTGGAGCTGCAAAGAACTGGTTGCTGCTCAGAGTCACAGCTCTCTTTGTGGCTAAAGGCTGGGTGCTTGGTTCCCTCAGAAAGGCTGTTCTTCTAAGTCTGTGAAAAGAGGGAATGGAAAAGAAGGAAAAACAGGAAAGGGCGGTCCACAGCTCAAAGGAAAAAGGGTAGCCTCAAGTCCAAAGGAAAGGATCCCACAGACTTTGCTTCTGCTCATGTATCTCCTAATCCTCTCTCCTCCATTTGCACTTTTACTGTACTTTTACTGTCATTAACTTTAATTGGTAATGACAATTACGTAACTTTTAACAGGTCTTCACAGCTTAAGGCTGATACATTTCATAGACACTGATAGCTTGGAGTTTTTAGTTGATATTTAATTCCAGCATTCCAACATGTGTTCAGTTTCCAGAGTTGCCTGTGGCATATCTTTGGCATCCTATACTCCCATCCCTCCCATTTTCTCTCCCTCATTTCCCTAACGCACTCCCTTGCGCTGCCTCCCTCCTCCCTCATATCCCCGGCACAATCGCTCAGTTCACTCCCTCCGCTGTGAGTGGAGCCAAGCCGGTGGCCCCTTTGACTCCACATACCCTTCAAACACAGCGGAGTGGGGAACATGTCTGAGCTCTGAGACGTACAAGCCGCCGGACAGAACTGAAGGAGAATACCAAACAGTGTCTGCCTGTGTCTCTATCCACCCCCACCATCATCCGGAGGACCCTCTCACAGCAGACAAAAGTAATGAATCAGGCTGCCCTCTGAGACCACGAGGATCTGATACTTAAAGTGCTCCCACTCACCATCCAATTTTTGGCTTAAAAGGGCCTCTGTGCGCTAAATAATACTAATGAGACAAAATACAATATCTTTTGGTGCTTCTTTGTTTCAAGGGGACTGATAAGTGCAGACAATCCAATTTAGTAGTCGATGTGAATTTTTGCACAGAAGAAAAGAGTAAAACACTCCAGGTGACAGCGGCTGAGAAATGTCATAGTTTCCACGTTACATCAGCATGTTAGTTCTGTGCGATTCCTCAAGAGAAACAGCTTCCAGAAATGGAAAAAACACTAAAAATAACTGGCCCGAAGAGTGAGGCTGAAAGGCATGAGACGGGATGAGCAGTGAGTTTTCTTTCCCTTTTTTAGTCTGAAAAACATACAGTCAATATTCAGCTTCCATTTCTATTTTCCCATTGCGAGAAAACGATCCAGGGGTTCTAAGAGCGGCTAACAAGTTTTTCATTGATTATGGGTAAAATATGTAATATAAAATGCATACTGAATATTCAACTAGGAAACTGACAGAAGCAACAATTATCCAGTAACTGTAACATAAAAACTGTAGCGGCATAATAGTGATGCGCAGATTTGCTAAGATCCTGACCTATAACGGCCGGTATTAGCTATTTGACAATAATTTCTTATCTACATTTATAAATTAAGAGATTCAAATTCAGAGAAGAAAAACACCCTGCAACCATGTTATTGATGCAGTTTGTCTCTGCAGCTTCCCTGTTGGGAGCACATTTGAAACACAATGACAAGCAGCATCTGATCCAAGCAGAGCCAGGCAGAGCCTGAAGAGAGTACATGAGTAATCCACCTATTGTGCCTAAAAACAATATTAAACTTTATTATCATACTCACTAAGTGAGACAGTATCAGCTGATATATCTGATTTTTAAATCACCAGATATTAGTGCTGGTATCGGACTTATAAGTATAAGTCAGGTTCCTTTACTTATTAATTCAAAGCCGTTGAAAGAGTTATTTTCTGTAGCTAAAAGCAGTCCATATATCAGCAACAGCCACTGAATTCCATTCAAATTAGCTAGCTTTAAATGCTAGTGAAATGCACTAATGTGATTTGTATAAGATAGAGAGCACATGATTTCATAAACCTTAACAGTTACAGGCAGTGGCATTTTGGGCATCTTCTTTAGTGAGTAAATAAGAAAAAATGTGTATTTATGCACTTTCTGCTTCACTGCAAACCCAACCTTGAATTTGTTTTTGCCATTACAACCCTAGCACCTTTAAAAAAAAGTGTGCTGTCACTCCTGACGCTTAAAGCAGTGATGTGCCATTATATAACAACAGCTGCTCACATTTTAGCTATTAAAGGTGATAGCTCATTTACATAATACCGGTAGAAGCCGTCTAGTTGTTTTCTTAATCAGGAATCCTGTTAAAAAGTGTTTCAGGCAATGTCAAAGTTTTCCAGAATATTTCCCTGAGAGACCTGTAATTATGCACAGTGTGATAGTTTAATAGAGTAATAAGGATAATAGCTACAGCCTAAAAAACAGTTTTATCAGCAGTTCGACAGAGAGCCTGTTGCTGGCCTTAAAAATTCTGCTGCAGCTTTTCACACAAAACACTTAGCCACGCATGCTCTCTTGAGCCCTGCCAACATTCTCCTTGTGTGTGACAGAGGCTAAAGATATACTTCTGAGAAGGGATACTGCATTTGAGGGACTTTTCCACTCAGATAATCTATAACACTTTCATAGGACTGGTTTCTTTTTTTCTTAAAAAGAAAAGTGCACATCAAACTGGGTTTGTATCTCATCACATCACGTCCTCGCATGGTAGCTAAGTAGAAACAATCGAAACCCAGCCACAGCCTTTGGTGGAGGGCCAAGACCATATCGCTTTTCAGGGCTCTATCCCTGTGTTGAAAATAGCTGTGCAATGCTAACGTTATTTTGGACTCGTCCTCCCTGCCTGGCCTCTCCAATCTCTCTTTGGTTTGACACAAAGTTAATCATAAATCTCCCTCGAGCCTACAAACATATAACCAATTTAATACTTGTTTCTGTAGAAGTAACGACACACTTTATTCTGTAGCATTCTTGAAAAAAGAATTGCTGTTGAAGTAAGGCAGATTTGTTTGACAGAAGACAAGCTTTGTTTAGTTTTAAGGAGCCATCTGTTTTACCATTTACAGCAATCCTATAAAAGCAGAGTGAGACAAGGCAAGAGGGTCCAGTTTTTACCACTACCAACCACCAGTCTAAACTGTAGGATGGCTGTGGAAATCTTGTGGGGTTATCTTGCTGTGACAGTGTGAGCCTTGGGCTCAGTCTGTGGAACTGGGAGCAGCTGTACAATAAGCCCTTCCAAACTCCCTGTCTTTGCTGACTCTGTCCTTCCTGCTCTAAAACACAGGAAGCTAAAGAACGTACAAGAAGCCTGCATCAATATGCCTGGAAACCAGCCAGGCATGACATATATGGATGTTCAGTGGGAAATAGGAGAACAAAGAAAGTTAATGACAAGCGAGAGCCAGGAAAAGGCTACTTTACTACAAAGAGGTGAAATGGTTGTGATCTGCCAGAACAGCAGCTTATTGACTTTCTGAATGAAGCGTGTCTGATCTAAACCTAAACCAGTCCATCACTGTAATCGGAACTGTGCAAGAAGCTAAACAAACTTGGAAACTGCTTTAAACAACAGCAGCACTGGAGCCAAAGGGAGCGACTGGAAATTAACTGACAGCTGAAGCATTTTTTAATTCTACAAAAATCAGAGCAGAACCTGGGCTGACAGCAGCCTGCAGTCTCCCATAAATATTTGCAGCTGTGAAATGATTAATGAATTGTCTGTTGGGATGGAGACAGGAATAAACATTATTTCTCCAGTAGAGTCAGTAATCTGGGCAACTGCTGACTAGAAATAGGTCAACTCTCCAGGTCTATGCACTAGATGTGACAATTGCAGCAATTCCAAGAGATTGACATTCTCTTTGTTACAGAAAAAGGACCAACATTGCCAGCTGCAGTCAAAGAAGGTGGTGCTTGAGTATGTCTGGCTATAACCATGAGATCCTCTCTGGGGAAGCAGCTGGGTGATATCAAGGACTCACACAACAGCATGTTAGTTCTGGAGGTGTGAAGCTAGTTGATTGTCAGTGACTTACTTGCAATACTAGAGTGAGGCAGTTGTCCAGTAGTAACTCAATCACAGATGATGTCATTCTCTCAGACAGATTGAAAAACAGTAAAGTTTTGTTGATCCTGTTCATCTGGACATTCAGCCGCTGTTTAGGTATTTTAATCAAGGCTATGAATGTAGACTACATGGTGGTAATCAAAGAGAACACACTCAAAGGGAAGAAACTACAGTACCAGCAATCTGACATTACATGTTTTTTTTACAGATATGTGGACGGACACATGTAATAAAGAAACTTTGACATTTGGTTTCACTGCATGAGGCCACCCATGGACACCTCAACTGTTTTTCTATGGAGAGCCTGCTCGAAACCACAGCTCATTAAAGACACTCAGATGTCTTTCATTAGAGCTTCATACTTTACACTAAAAGTGAAGGACCTCCCCTTCTGCTTCCAGGAGAGACTGGAGCAGTAAACACTTCACAGCTCAAATTGTTCCTGTTTTATGTGTTCATGCATACATGTGATTTAGACAGACACATGGGGAGAGATTATTGCTCAAAAGAGGACTTGAGCATGAAGACAGATTGTGATGTCAGCAGTTTAACTATTTAATAACTGTAGCTAAGAGCCTGCAAAAACCTCTGTATACAATACATTTAACAGATGTTACCCACTGTATTATATTGTAATAGAATGCACCCCCTAAATATCTCCTACTGTTGTGGTAGAAAAAAGTAGACTCTCTTTTAATTTTAAGGTTTTATGTTAAACATTTCTTTCGGCTGCTTCCTTATTCACAATGGATCATCACAGTGGGTGGCTCTGCATATCTGGCACAGCAATAACACTTCTGGTGCAACCCTTCCAGTGTGTCTTAAAATTAGGTAAATACAAAGACTTCACATATTACACTGTGCCATTATTTATTTAACACATTTTTAAGCCAAAATTTAGAGGGCTTGTATAAAAATGAAGTACAGCCCACAATTCAATAGCTTGTACCTTCAGCAGCAGTAAGTTGAAAGAATTGTTTTCTGCCAGTCTCTGGCATCGCTGTGGTGCTCTCTTCTTTCCTACGTTGCTACAGTTTATTGAGGTTTACGGGTATTTGTTCATGCACAGCTCTCTTTAGGTCCCATTGCAGCATTTCAGTTGGATTGACGTCTGGACTTCGACTGGGCCACTGCAACACTCAGTCACTTTATTGTAGACTCTTGGAAGCACTGTCGTGTTTCAGGACCCAGTTTTATTTCAATTTTGGCTTTTGGGCAGATGGCCCCAAAGTTATAAAATGCAATAAGCTTATAAATGTTATAAATAGGCGTTCATGGTCAGCTCAATGACTCCAAGGTGCCCAAGTGCTGTAGCTGCAAAACAAGCCCAAATCATCATTCCTTTACGGCCATGCTTGATAGTTGGTATGAGGTGTTTGTGCTGATAAACTGGCTCTCGCCACATGGTGCTCTGCATTACAGCCATACACCTCTGCTTTGGTCTCATCTATTCAAAGGACACTGTCC